GATCGGGCTGTCTATTTTAGTATTACTCTTTACTAATGGAGTAATGGGCCTATGTATACTACTAAGGTTAAAACAATTGGGGGCCCTCCAAAATTGGGGGCCCTGTGCAGATGCTCCAATTGCACATGGGTCGGGCCGGGCCTGGTACAAAGCATCATGCAGCCCGTTCAACACATAGTTTCGGCAAAGGAAGTCAGAATGCTTCCATGCTTCAACCGCGTTGAAAGATTGTGCATCGACCTCACCCCCGGTTGCTACCGGCGCATCTTTGGTCAAGAACCTAGCAAGACCGAGAGTAGTGAGGTAAAATAGCATCTTTTGCTGCCACCTCTTGAAGTTTAACTCGTTAAATTTTTCGGGGTTCTCCATAGAGTTGCTTGGCACGGTAACCATAGGGATTGCCCCTTGGTTGCCCAAAGTAGATGCACCGCGTTGTGAACCAGTGTTCACCGGTGCTCCACTTTCAGATTGATTATCGTTTGGCACGTTCTGCCCACCAACATTTCCAATTTCTTGTGAAGTCATTTTAACGTTTTCAACGTTTTCCGAAAACACAAAAAATAAGTTCGTTCACCGAAGTGACAAACTACGTTTTTAGATTGTTTACCGCAGTAAAACAACCAAGGAAAATACGTTTTAAGATTGTATCCGTATGATACATGCTTAACGAATACGTTTTAAGATTGTTGGGTGTGTTTCGGAAAAAACGAAGAAATATTAATTAAATAAAATTAATTAATTAATAAAATAGGTAAAAGAAAATAGAAAATATGATGGAGCAGATTTTAGCCAGAGCTCGTGCTACGCACGATGTCCTTAAAACGTATTCGTCGCCTCCCACGGTGCTAGGAGCGTTGCAACGACCGTTTCCCAGGATACGGTGGCTAACGAACGATCGTTTGAGCACACAAACGAAAGTCCCGGTGAACCGGAACAATAGCAGAACACTAGGGAAATTTGGGAGTAGTTGGAAGTGTTTTTAGCTCAAGAAAACGTGAGGAATGTATTGTGTGTGTCAAACCGTGTGTTTGTTGCAAAGCACCTGTCAGCCTTTTGTAGGAGGATTTGTTGTGTGTTAAAGGACCTGAACGTTGGACATCAATGACCAGTCCATTGGGCATTGAATCATCCATAAACTGTCCATTTAACGTTGCATTAAAAGACAAGAACGTTGGGCATGTAATGGCTTGGAGCAGTTCTGGTGCGCGATCAGAATACCCCCATCAGAGTTGGAGCAACTCTGATGTTACCAGAATACCTCCACCAGAGTTGGAGCAACTCTGATGCTACCAGAATACCTCCACCAGAGTTGGAGCAGCTCTGATGCGAAGCCACCAGAGTTGGAGCGCCTCTGGTATGAAGCCACCAGAGTTCGAGCAACTCTGGTCCTGGGAAAAATAAAACGTTACGGGAAGAAACAAAAATTAGACCGTATCTTTGAATGATAGGTTTTCGGACGACATTCGTGTCCGCAGGTCGCCCGCACACACGAGTCGCGGTTTTTCTTCTCCGTTTCGGGATTTGATCGGCACCCCCCTGCCCGTAAGAGAGAGCCTTTACCTTTAGGAATCTTAACTCCTTAAAAGAGGCTTCCCTTTATATGGGGTGAAAATCCCTTGAGTTTTTCGTTGTGGGATAAAACACACTAGAAACCCATCATTTTCCTAGTTTTTCCATTTCAACGAGTGAACTTCGAGAATCAATTTCTCATTCACCCGTTATCCATTTTGAGTGTACCACATATCAATTTTTAGCCCTTAACAAGGACAATCCGAAACCACTTTAACCCGACCCAAATCGGAAGTGGACCTCACTCAAATAATTGCCTCAAAATGACCATTTAATGCAATTTTAACACATTTTTCCAACAGTCTCTACCTCTCACGTTGAAGATTTCTTTCATGCTTCCTCACCTCCACTCCAATGCTTCCTCACCCTCCACCCGAACACTTCCTTGTCCTCCATGCCAACTCGATGGGTTTCATTCTTCTCATTTCTTTTTATGTTCTTCCCATTCTCTGTACAATTAGCATTTGATTGTGGATGAGAGTCAGAAATCCTTCAGATATGAAGAGGGCGATGAGGGGCGAGCGATGGGAGACGATGATGTGCAACAAGCGGCGCATGGGGGACAATGAACTAAATGTTTTGATTGAATGAGACGACTAGGGTTTTGATCAATTGCGTGACTAGGCGTTTCACTCGGTCGCAACTGCACCTAATGCTTAAGGGAAGTGACAGTGGTGCAGCTAAAGTTATGGAAAAGTGTTAGGGCTGGGCGTGATCGGGGGTAGGGTTGTGCGAGGGAGGCATGGGCGGGGGTGAGTTGGGGGTAGTTTCAGTAGCGGTGTGGTGGGGAAGGGTTGAGAGCAGGGGGTTATTTTGTAGTGACACTAATCATTGGCTAATAGGATGAGGTCACTATAGCGGCAATCACTATCACTTAGGGTGGTTGCTGTTGCTGCAATTGGTTACTGGTGCGACAGGATGATGTCATTGTCACTGATCGACCATGTTCACTATGAGACGGAGGTCATTATCAAGACGAGTAACTATCACTCGTAAAGGAGTATATAACTCATGTAATTCTATTTTTTTAAAAACCTTTGAACTTAAATATGTTTTTGTTCATGAGTTTCTAACTTTTTATTTAATAATATTGTTGCCAAAACGCGAAAGAATGTCTTACCCATTTTATTTTTAAAGAAAGCTATATTATTCTCTTAAGGTCCATTATTGAAAAGATTCCCTACTCTTTATTCATAGACTATATGGAGTTCATTTTTAGATACTGCTCAATCCTATAAAACTATTCTGGATTTGATATGGTCCGAAGTTTAAGAAAGTAAGAATAAAATGAAAATATAGTATTATGATTAAGTAAGAAAAAAATAAATAAATGTTACCTACATAAAACTTTCCATATATAGGTACATTAGAAGAATTTCAAAAGATAATGTGAAAAATTTAGAGAGAATTTCCTAAATAGGAGTAAAAAAGTTTTGAAATTCCAAAATATGACTATCATGTGTTTTATCCTTGAATATGAGTAAATTTCTACCAAGTTTGACATTAAATTAATAGGCTTTAAACATGACATTTTTTCCAAACATGACAAATTACTCCTATTCTGGGAATAAAAAAATGATACTCCTATTTTGGAATTTCAAAACGTTTTAGCTCCTGTTTAGAGCAATTTCTAAAAAATTTATGGGTTGAGGAGAAGGAGAGAATCTGAAGAGAAATGGTGCTAAATAGGAGCTTAACTTATGGTATGTAATTAAATAAGAGCTTGACTTTTTTTACTCCGAAATAGGACTAATTTTTTCTAGTGTTCCAAATTTACCCTCTCTTTTCTCCTCCACCTCTCCTTCTTCCCTTTTCTTTATTTCTTCGTCACTTGTTCGCGACTACAGATCTAAAATCTGTGACGGCATCCTGAAGCTTCTGGAGTCCAAACTCATCCCTCCGCCTCCACCGGTGATTCCAAGGTCTTCTACCTCAAAATGAAGGGAGACTACCACCGCTACCTCGTTGAGTTCAAGACAAGCGCTGAGCGAAAGGAGGCCGCGGAAAGCACTCTCACGGCCTACAAATCTGCCCAGGACGTCGCGAATGCAGAACTTGCACCAAGACATCCTATCCGTCTCGGATTGGCTCTAAACTTCTCTGTGTTTTATTATGAGATTTTGAACTCCCCTGACCGTGCTTGTAGTCTTGGAAAACAGGCCTTTGATGAAGCCATTAAAGTGTTGATATTGATATTAAATTATTAATACATTATTGTTGATCAACGATTTTAATAGAGTGATTGTCATAGTGATTGACATTCTTATGACATTGTTATTGACATTCTTATGACATTCTTATGACATTGTCATTGACATTATTTTCTATTGACATTTTTATGACATTGTCATTGACATTCTTTTAACATTGTCATTGACATTCTTGTGACATTGTCATTGACATTCTTATGACATTGTCACTAACATTGTTTTGTATTGATATTCTTATGACATTGTCATTGACATTGTTTTCTATTGACATTTTTTATGACTTTGTAATTGACATTCTTATGACATTATACGAGTAATTCACATTTTCATCATTACAGTGTCATTATTTAAACAATGACATTGATTTTAAGCAATACTCTATATTTTGATTTTTTAATAAAGTATTGTAATGATGAACTCCCCTTGTAGGGCCTTATAATGTAGAGAAATAATTGATTTTAAGCAATACTCTATATTATAATGAAGAGGGGGTGAAGAAGAACAAAGAAGAAGATCAGGCGACCACTCCAGCGACGAGCAGCGGCGACCATTCCGGCAACTAGCAGCGGTGAGCAGTCCGGTGACGACGAACGACGGTAAACTCGGAAGCGACCTGCACAACGAGCAGTGGTGAATTGAAATCTGAAATCGGTAATGTGCTAGAAGACCTCAGGTTTCTCGCTGGACCATCTCCGCCGCAAATGGCTTACCATGTATAGGGAGTTTAGTTTTTGCTGGGCATCGTTTCTCGCAGAAGATTTTTTAAGGGAAGGGTAAATTTGTCATCCAATACAATTTTAAGTTCTATTTAGGTATATAATTCTCGCTAGTCCTATTTAGATGCATTGACTATGTTTTAGTCTTACTAATGTCTATTTCCCGAATCCATGACAGATTCTCGCTAGTCCACAGGCGTTGCGTGTGGAAAGATTGAAAGAATGTTAGTTGATGGTTTTGGACTTTTGGCCTTTTGGGACCGGATTAATAATTTAAGCCCAACGTAGGAAATGGGCAAACGGGACTTTCGAATTCCGAAAACGGGTATAGAATCCGAATCCATGACAGATTTTGTCAAAAAACGGGCAATACCCGATAATAGGTGTCGTTGATTGTACGCCATTCTTGACCTCAAACGACAATTCCACAACACGTTCGTGGGCCCTTCGTTACATCAAAACCCCTAATCCTTGCGACTTTGCTCCATTATTTTTTCCTTTCCTCTACAGCTTTGATCTCAAACCTATCTCCGGCGACCGCCGTCTTCTCCCCGAATTCAACCGGTCCGCCATATTCCGCCGTCAGGTACCCACCTACCCTGTATATGTTTTTGTTGCTCGTGTTTATTTCTGCATCTGCTTGAATCTGGATAGTTCAGTGTACATATTTCCCTTTTCTTGTTATTATTGTCGGATGTCTGGAGTAGATCTCGAAGTTTGTTGGGCTATTTTTGTTAGGGTTTAGATTTGGAATCTCGTTGACTGTTTAGCTTGTTGTGTATCTTCTTACTCCTTATTTTTCTGTTCTGTTTTGTACTTTGAGTGAGAGCTGAGGATCTCCTGGTACTGACTAGGCATACCATCTTTGATTAGGTTATAAGTTATTATCTGAAAAGAGCTTAGAAGATCTTTCCTGGCTTAAGTTATGGCGTCAAAACGCATACTGAAGGAGCTCAAGGATTTACAGAAGGACCCACCCACATCATGCAGCGCTGGTATGGCTTGAAATTTTGAATCTCAGTATATTTAGCCTTTTGATTCCTGGTTTAGTTGTAAGTGTTTATAGCTAGTGCTTTTAAATTTATTTTCTGTAGCCATGTGCTATTTGATTGTGCATTATGTAGCATGTACTGATTGTGTTATAATTTTTGTTGCAGGCCCTGTTGCAGAAGATATGTTCCATTGGCAAGCAACCATTATGGGGCCCACTGATAGTCCCTATGCTGGAGGTGTTTTCCTGGTTTCGATTCACTTCCCTCCTGATTACCCTTTTAAGCCTCCTAAGGTATGTTATCATGTAATAGGTTTTGTTGGACTTTTCTTTGACTATTGTATAGTTTTCAGATGATATGGGGTGTTGAATTGTTATTGGTGGATGCATATGCTTTCACTTACGCTATGTTTAGAGAAACTATTCTCATCTTACATTATTTAGATTTCTTAGCCTTTATATAAGAAATTTATATAATAGGCCTGGAATATGAAGAAATTTATATACTCCCACACATTTACTGATGATTTTCATATTCTTTCCATCCATATTTAGTGTTTTCTTGCCCTAGCTTTATCGAGTCACAAACAGGCCCTTGATGATGTGGCAATATGATATCTGGATACATTCACGCCTTGATGTGTACACCAATAACTCAAAATAGCAAAACGTTGATTTTGTATGAAATTTTTGGTTGCACAGGAAACTTTGTGTTGGTGCGTTTATATAATTCAATCCGTTTTTAACTTTTCAGGTTGCTTTCCGGACTAAGGTCTTCCACCCTAACATCAATAGCAATGGAAGTATCTGCCTTGATATTCTTAAAGAGCAGTGGAGTCCAGCCTTGACCATATCCAAGGTTTTCACTTCTTTTTATTTTTTACATTTAATTTGTTTACTCTTCTTTTGCTCTATGCATTTAAGAAAATGCATCATATTCTTGAAAATGAATGTACATTTAGAATATAAGATTGATGCCTTTGAAAATTAAAAAGTCAGTGATGAGTGTAAACATGTGTTTAGCAGTTGAAAATACTTTTATCAGAGCAAATATCTTGTATGTGAAGTTATTTTTAGTAGAAAATTCGATTTATCTTGCATGGCGGTGAAAAAATAAAAGCCTGTTTGGACCAAGTAATGGTAGAGAAAGAAAACAGGGAGCAAAATATTGCTCAAGTTTTGAAAAGATATTACAAATTTTGATTTCTTGTGTCTTGCAAGGTATAACCAAACATTTAAAAAAGAACTACTCGTATCTGACTTGCCACTTTTTTATATTTCTTTCATTTTCCACATTCCTAGGTCCCAACATAACCTGGAGAGTATTGGTGATTATTTTTTTAGTATCTAGTATGCCTCATGCAGGGGCTAAAGGGAATAAATAATGATTTCATCAATTGTTTGGTATGATGTCCACATTGCCTGAATGCCTGGTATTAAAATCTATTTTATATCCTGATGAATTTTTTTTCATATTTATTATTACTTCAGGTCCTCTTGTCCATCTGTTCCCTGTTGACTGATCCAAACCCGGATGATCCGCTTGTGCCAGAAATTGCTCACATGTACAAGACTGACCGGGCCAAATACGAGACCACGGCTCGGAGCTGGACTCAGAAGTATGCTATGGGGTGATGATGAATGACAAAAATGTTTGCTCCCCAAATTCCTGTGACTTAAGTGTGCGCTTTTTGTGGCTTATCTTTGCCGTCTTCGTTGGCTTTTGATATAATTATAATAAGTTGTACCTTTGAATCTTTGATTTCAGGCGGCAGTCATAATGGCTCTTTTTAATTTGTGAATACTAATTTAGACATAAATTCATGCTATGGAAAACTACTACTATGTATTGTACTATGGTTTGTAATCCTGGGTTTATTAATGAATTAATTCCCTGTTTTGACAATTGAGCATGACTCATCTTTTCATCCTAATCCATGTTTTGTACTATGGGACTGTGGGATGGGGGTAGATATGGACTCAGGCCGGGTAGCCCGACCCGGAACCGGCCCGGGAGCGGTAATGTTCTGGCCCAGCCCAACCCGGTGGCCTGGTCAGTGACCGTTCTGGGTAGGCCCGACCCGTGGGTTTCCGGTCCGGGCTCGGGTCACCCAAAAGAAGGCCCGACCCGGCTGGGCCCGGTTCGGGCCAAAACTATTTCTTTTTTCAATTTTTTATTAAATTTTCGGGTTGGGCTGGGTATTTTGGGCCATTTGGGGTGGTTTGGGGGATTGGGGATGGGAGGGTAGGGGTGGATTCGGTTCGGGCCACCCGGCCTGGCCCGGTACTGTGCGGGCCTGGGATCGGCACGGTCGGGCGGTCCGGGACCGGGTGTAGACCCGAACCGGTGGGAATGGGCGGGGCGGGCACGGTTCCGGAAAAATGTGACCCGGGCCGGGTTCGGGTCCAACGGTCATATTTTAATTTTTTTTTAAATGGCTACTAGCCGTTATGGGTGGGCTGGGGACAACCCAAATGGCTACATAGCCGTTGGGTGGGTCTTGGGGGGGTCCGGGGGGGGGGGGTTAGGTGGTGGGGGGGGTGTGGTGGTGGGGGTGGGGGGTAAAAAAACCTATAAATACTCCTAATCTTAAACATTTTTTTATCTCTTCTCCAATTCTTCCTAAATCTTATTCTTAACTCTCTACTCTCTAATTCTCTTATTCTCCATTCTCCAATATATTATACTATCTATTTATTATTTATAGTTTATAACTTTATATTAATTATCTACTTATATAAACTATAAATAGATATAAATAGTATTATATTACTTATATTTGTTATCTAATTATATATTACTTATATATTTATTATATCTATTAATATAGTTGGAATTATATCTAATTAATTTGAAGTCATTCTATTACTCCCATCCGAAAGACCGAAAGTCCGAAAGAGGTACGAAATTATTCTATTATTTACACTTGTTTAATTTTGTATTAACGTTACTTGCAAAAAAACTAGTTAATTAGGTTGTACGATTTGCTATAACTCGAATTAATAGTTAGATTAGTATATTGTACAAAATTCTAGTATTTACATTTGACTCTAGTTTAAAAAACTAGTTGTAATTCTAATTATAGTTAAAGTTAAAGTGTATTAATTTCATTGTTAGTAAAAAAAATATATTGTACACAAAACTAGTTAATTCACTAGTTAATTTGCTATAACTCGAATTAATAGTTAGATAAATAGTTAATTGCTTTTTTACAATTTTTTATTAATTGCTACATTTGACTCTAGTTTAAAAAAATATGTTGTACACAAAACTAGTTAATTCACTAGTTAATTTGGTATAACTCGAATTAATAGTTAGATAAATAGTTAATTACTTTTTTACAATTTTTTATTAATTGCTACATTTGACTCTAGTTTAAAAAAATATGTTGTACACAAAACTAGTTAATTCACTAGTTAATTTGCTATAACTCGAATTAATAGTTAGATAAATAGTTAATTGCTTTTTTACAATTTTTTATTAATTGCTACATTTGACTCTAGTTTAAAAAAATATGTTGTACACAAAACTAGTTAATTCACTAGTTAATTTGCTATAACTCGAATTAATAGTTAGATAAATAGTTAATTACTTTTTTACAATTTTTTATTAATTGCTACATTTGACTCTAGTTTAAAAAAATATGTTGTACACAAAACTAGTTAATTCACTAGTTAATTTGCTATAACTCGAATTAATAGTTAGATAAATAGTTAATTTCTTTTTTACAAATTTTTATTAATTGCTACATTTGACTCTAGTTTAAAAAAATATGTTGTACACAAAACTAGTTAATTTGCTATAACTCGAATTAATAGTTAGATAAATAGTTAATTACTTTTTTACAATTTTTTATTAATTGCTACATTTGACTCTAGTTTAAAAAAATATGTTGTACACAAAACTAGTTAATTCACTAGTTAATTTGCTATAACTCGATTTAATAGTTACATAAATAGTTAATTACTTTTTTACAATTTTTTATTAATCGCTATATTTTTTAGATGGATCGTCCTAGATATTCGGTTGATATGGGTAACCTTGAGCGCAACCGAACGAAAGAGCTTGCGAGGAAGAGATCCCGCAAAGGTAAATCACATATCGGCTCTTCATCTCAAAGTCGAGATGATTTTGATACGGGTTGCGCAAGGAAGGATGGAGATGCGATGACTGACGAACAACTAGAACAAGAATTGCACCGACATAATTCCCGCTTTTTTCAAGACCAACCGAAGACCATTGACGAAGAAGAGCTCGAGGCCGAGGATGACGATGTGGAGGAAGTAATTCCGGAGAGCCACGACGAGTAGGAGGAGGGTGGCGGCAGCCATGACGCCGACCAACCTGCCTCATCCCAAACAGGTACAAAAAAGTAAATCTGAACTAATGGCTAATAATTTTTCTAAGTGGAAGGACCCGAACACCGGGAATTGGACCGCAACTTGCAATTGGTGCAAGAAAAACTATAGCTTGGGGATTTCCGGCGGATACGGATCCGCCACAAGACACCTTAAGTCCAAACACCCGGTGGAGTATGCAAAATTAGGCGGCGGAACGGGGAAGCAAACGCAAATATCGAGGTTTGCAAATAACCAACAAGCTTTTGGTAATTTCTCATACAATGATGCACAAAATTTGACAGGTATGACTAACTTACTTGTTGAAGAAAATTTGTCTTATTTGTTTTCTGAAAGTCTTGCTTTTCGTGATTATGCACAAACTTGTTTAAATCCGCAATATAGAGGTTATAGTCGCAAAACGGTTAAGAAAGAAATTTCAAGGCTTTATGGTGCGGAAAAGGTAAGATTACAAAATTATTTTGCAAACTTTGATGGACGTGTTACTGTATGTTCTGACATATGGGAGGATACTTATCATAATTTCCATTATTTGGGTCTGACTGTACATTATATTGATAATGATTGGCATATGCATAAACGTGTTCTTGCTTTCCGTGAATTTAATGATCGTCACACCGCTGAACATATTTATATTTTGATTGAGCGTATTTTAATTGAGTATAATTTAATTGATAAGGTGTTTGCTATTGGTTTTGATAATGCTACTAGTAATACTGCTGCTATTCCTAGATTGCGTGAATTGTGTGGTTCTACTTCTTTGATGGGTATATTTTTTCATCAACAATGTGCATGTCATGTTCTAAATTTATGTGTGCAGGATGGTCTAAAAGCGTTGGGAGCATCGTTGGAGGTAGTCAATGGGGGGATTAGACGTATTTGGGGTAATGGACAACTTAGGAAAAAATGGCATGATTATTTGATAGAAAGAGGTGAGAGATATGTGCCTTTTCCTAAAGATTTGTCTATTCGTTGGAATAGTACCTATAAGTTAATTGGAGTTCTTCTTAGATATAAACAACATTTTCCTGCTTTTATGAAACAATATGATAATTATATTATAAACTCGGCTGAGATCGACACCTGTGAAAAAATTTGTAATGCTTTGATATATTTTAATAATGCAACTGAAACTTTTAGTCATGTTTATAAACCTACCTCAAACCAATTTATTCGTGAAGCTGTTAATCTCGCCGGTGCTTTTTCAAATTTTGAGAATGCTGATTATGTGAGTTATTTTGCTAGTTTTATGAAGGAAAAGTTTTTAAAATATTATTCACATATTTCGCATATTTATGGTATTGCATTTGGTCTCGATCCTCGTTTTAGACTTGGTTCTTTAGAAGAATGTTTGAATTATTATTATGCTGCGTTTTTTGGTCCATTGCCAATGTATGAGGATAATCCAATTGATCCGAAAAAAGAATACAACGAGGTTAGTGATATATTTTATGCATTATTCAATGAGTTTCATGCACAATATGGCAATGCGCCCCCTCCCCCGACACAAACATCATCTAAAGGAAAATCAAATTTCAAATCTACGTTTGCCAATCTTATTAAAAAACGAAATCAACTCCCGCTACACAACAAAGCACAATTAATGAGATTTCTTTGTATTTAACTTATGATGTTGATTTTGAAGAAGATGATGATTTTGACGTACTAAACTGGTGGAAGGGAAAAGAAAGAATGTTCTCGGTTTTAGCAAAGATGGCTAAGCAAGTGCTATCAATGCCGGTTTCAACGGTTGCCGTGGAACAAGAATTTAGTTCGGCCGGCAATGTCCTAACACAAACCAGAACGAGGTTGAGCGCTGAATCTGTTGAGATGCTTATATGCTACCACGATTTGTTGAAAGCAGCCCGTAGAGCTCAAGAAATTGACATCACCCCATCCCAACACTTTATGGATGAATCTACAACCGAGGGTGGCTCTACCTATGCCGGAGATTCCGATTGAAATATTGAATGATGGATTAGTATTTCATGTTTTAAAAACAATTATAGTTCCTATTTAATTTTCAAATGTAGTTCCTATTTCATTTCAAATAAATGCACTTGAAGTTTGTTTTTTAATACTTGTATAAAACTATAAAGTATAAAATATAAATTCCTAAAAAAAAAATTAACCGACCCGGCCCGGCCCGGCGGGTGGCCCGACCCGTGACCCGGGCGGGTGGCCCGGCCCGAACCGGACCCGTCCAACCCTCGGGCCGGTCCCGGGCCCATGTAATACGAACCGGCGGCCCGACCGGGCCTAGGCCCGGCCCAGGCCCGACCCGGCCCGAATCCACCCCTATGGGAGGGGGGTTAGTTAGGAAGAGGGGAAAAAATTGATAATGGGCCTAGGGGTGGACTCGGGCCGGGCCAACCGGTCCAGAACCGGACCGGCCCGCTACTGTGTGGGTCCGGCCCGGACCGGCCCGGTTTGGCGGTTAGTTCACGGTTCGGGCCACCCGGCCCGGTCTTCAAGCGGTTCGGTCCCGGGCCTAGATTTTAGTGAACCGGCCCGAGCCTCAACGGTAACATATTTTTTTTTAAAATAATAGAAGGCTCCATAGCCGTTGGGAGACCTTCCAAACGGCTCTATAGCCGTTGGGAGCATAGGAGGGGGGGTCTGGGGGGTTAGGGGGGTGGGGTGGGGGTGGGGGTGGGGGTGGGGTATACAAAAAAACCTATTTATACTCCTATTTTCTATGCATTTTTCACACCTCTTCTTCTACAACTCTTACTACTCTCTAAATTCTCTATTCTCTCAATCTCTCATATTCAATCATCTTCATTCTTCATTTTCTCCAAATTCTTTCTACATATATATAATTTATATAATTATTATATCTATTTATATATTAATTATCTACTTATAAATATATACTTATACACATTCATATTATAATCCTTTATGCATTATATTATATATACTATATATAGTTATACATTATATTATATATTACTTATAATATATTTACACATTATATATTTATATATACTATATATACTTATACTCATTACTTCTCGTTTATATACTATATTCTTTACACATTATATTATATATACTATATATAGTTATACATACATTTTATAAAAGTAGTATTGTTAGACTTCTAGTTTATCTATTAAATTACTTAATTGTTTCATTTGTCATATTAATATTAGTTAAAGTAGTTAATTGTTTCATTTGTCATATTAATATTAGTTAAAGTAGTTAATTGTTTCATTTGTCATATTAATATTAGTTAAAGTAGTTAAAGTTAATTGTTTCATTTGTCATATTAATATTAGTTAAACTACTTAATTGTTACATTTCTCATATTAATATTAGTTAATTGCTACATTAGTCATTCAAGTAAAAAAAAGTAGTTAATTTTTACATTTCTCATATTAATTAATTACTTAATTGCTACATTTTTACATTTCTCATATTAGTTAATTGCTAGATTTCTCATTAAAGTAAAAAAAAAAAAGTAGTTAATTTTTACATTTCTCATTATTACTTAATTGCTACATCTTTACATTTCTCATACTCCCTCCGTCCCTAAATAAAAGCATTTGTTTCCTTTTCGGGCCGTCCCTAAATAAAAGTTCCCTTTCCTTTTTTGGCAAACAAAACAGTGCAAAACAGTGCCAAACAGTGACAAACAGTGTCCAAACAGTGTCAAACAGTACCAACCAAACCCACTTTCTTAAAATGTGTGGAAAACGAATGGATACTTTTATATAGGGACGGAGGGAGTATTAGTTAACTGCTACATTTCTCATTAAAGTAAAAAAAAGTAGTTAATTTTTACATTTCTCATATTAATTAATTGCTACATTTTTACATTTCTCATATTAGTTAATTGCTACATTTCTCATTAAAGTAAAAAAAGTAGTTAATTTTTACATTTCTCATATTACTTAATTGCTACATTTTTACATTTCTCATATTAGTTAATTGCTACAATTCTCATTAAAGTAAAAAAAAGTAGTTAATTTTTATATTTCTCATATTACTTAATTGCTACATTTTTACATTTCTCATATTAGTTAATTGCTAATATTTGTTCAATTTTAAAGATGGAGCGTGGTAGACATTCTGTAGATGTGGGTAATCTCCAACGCAACCGGAAGAGGGAGATTGCATCGACTCGATCTACTTCACGCAAAGGCAAAGGTAAAGCGTGGGCCGAGTCTTCTTTTCAAAGTCGAGATGATTTTGAAACGGATTACCAACGGCGAGATGATATGATGATGTCCGACGAGCGATTACAACACCTATTGTCCCAAAATGATCCACGTTTTGCACAAGAACAACAATTCTCGACAACCATCGATGAAGAGGAGCTCGAGGATGACGATGCGGAGGAGGACGCGGGGGGCGACGGGACTCCGGATGATGAGCAAGAGTTGGAGGGCGAGGGCCGTTCAACGACTACGACCCAAATTGGTAAGAAATCTAACTCTCATATTATTGAAAACATTTATACAAAAAGGAAAGACGAAAAAACAGAAAAATGGTACGCAAGTTGCAATCATTGCAAGAAAGAGTTTAGCTTGGGAACTTCTGGCGGATACGGGAGTCTCAAAAGGCATCTTCAGTCCGCCCACTTTGTGGAGTATGCGAAAATAGACGAAGGCAAGGGGAAGCAAACACAAATATCGAGGTTTGCAAATTCTCAACCCTTTGGTAATTTTTCCTATGATGATAAAAAACATTTGACTGGTATGTCTCATTTAATTGTTGAAGAAAATTTACCCTATATCTTTTCCGAAAGTCTTGCTTTAAGAGATTATGCTCAAGGTACTTTAAATCCTCAATTTAGAAATTATAGTCGCAAAACGATTAAAAAAGAAGTTATAAGGCAATATAACTTGGAAAAAGAAAAATTACAAATATTTTTCGCAAACTTTAATGGACGTGTTAGTATTTGTAGCGATATATGGGAGGATACTTATCATCATTTATATTATTTGGGTCTTACTGCACATTATATTGATGATGATTGGAATATGCATAAACGTGTTCTTGCTTTTCGTGAATTCAATGATCGTAACACTGCTGATAATATTTATATTCTCATTGAACATATTTTAATTGAGTATAATTTGATTGATAAGGTGTTTGCTGTAGGTTTTGATAATGCTAGTAATAATATTGCTGCTATACCTAGATTACGTGAATTGTGTGGTGCTTCTACATTGATGGGTAGGTTTTTTCATCAACGTTGTGCATGTCATATTCTAAATTTGTGTGTACAAGATGGCTTAGCGGCATTAGGAAATGCTTTGGAGGTAGTGAAGGGGGGAATTAAATTGATTTGGGCTAGCACTCCACTAAAAATGCAATGGCGGCAATATTTGAAGGATAGACGTGTCAATTATTGTGATTTTCCTAAAGATTTGTCTATTCGTTGGAATAGTACTTATAATTTAATTCAAGTATTTGTTAAATATAAAGATCATTTTCCAGCTTTTTTAAGACAAACTTGTAACTATATTATAAACCCGGCTGACATCGACACTTGTGAAAAAATTGTTAATGTTTTAACATATTTTAATAACGCAACTCTAACTTTTAGTCATGTTTATAAACCTACCGCAAACGAATTTTTTGTTGAAGCTGTTAATCTCGCCGGCGCTTTTTGTGAATTTTCCGAAGCCACTTACGTTAGTTATTTTTGTGATTTCATGAAACAAAAGTTTTTAAAATATTATTCACATATTCCGCATATATATGGTATTGCATTTGTTCTTGATCCTCGTTATAAACTTGCTTACTTGGCAAATTGTATAGATTACTATTATGCTTCTTTTTTCCCAACTCAAGAGTTCGATGACAATTCCATTGACCCTAAACAAGAATTCAACGAGGTTAGTAATTTATTTCATCAATTGTATAATGAATTTCATGCACAATATGGTAATGCACCCCCTCCCATGCAACGAACATCTTCTTCATCTAAAGGAAAATCACTTTTAAAATCCGCTTTTGGTTCTCTTTTGAAAAAAAGTAGAGCAACTCCCGCTACTGAACAAAGCTCAGGTAACGAGCTTTCTTTGTATCTAACATTGAATGTTGATTATGAAGTTGGTGATGACTTTGACGTTCTTAAGTGGTGGAAGGAAAATGAAAGAACATTCCCGATTTTATCAAAGATGACTAAGCAAGTGCTAGCAATGCCGATATCAACCGTTGCCGTGGAACAAGAATTTTGTGCGGCCGGCAACGTCCTAACCGATTATAGAACGAGGTTGAGCCCGAGCTCTCTTGACACACTAGTTTGCTTTCACGATTGGTTGAAGGCCCAACGAAGAACTCAAGAAATTACCATCACTCCCACCCGCCACTTTATGGAGGAAACAACTGAAGGCGGAGATTCCGATTGATTTTTTATTACAAAATGTATTATATTTTTTAAATTCATCCTAATTCTCAATTGTACTTCTTATTTGAAATAAATATACTTGAATTCGAATATAATATATTGTAATTGTAATAAGAATTATTTTAATAATATAATATATAATAATAATAATAAAATTAAAAGGCCCGGCCCGCCGGGCGGCCCGGCCCGTGAACCGGGCGGGTCCGGTCCGGGCCTCGGTTCTATTTTTTTTTTGGCTTTTCCTAGTTAACCCCTAACCCTCCCCCTCACCCCCAAACCAACCCTAACCACCTCAAATGGCCCAAAATACCCAGTCCACCCCTAGGGGTGGACTCGGGCCGGGCCGGGCCAACCGGCCTGGAACTGGACCGGCCCGCTACTGTGCGGGCCCGGCCCGGCCCAGTGAACCGGTTCCGAGCCCGGTTCGGTCCAACCGACCCGGTGGGATGACGGTTCGGGCTCGGGCCCTTTAAAAGGTGCAAAGTCAAATATCACCCAAAACATGGGGTGCAAACTCAAATTCTCCCTATAAAAAACTCAAAAAAATTGTTAAAGTTTGAAAAAATATAGATAAAAATTGTGATTTTATTTTTTGAATATCAAAGTCAATATTTTTGCACTTCTGAAATTATTTTTATACTTTACATCTATTTATAAGGTGGTTACATTAATAAGATTATTCTTGAGGT